TGTGATAGGATTACATACAGCCATCCTTCCATACTACGTAGACGAAACTTTCCCTGTTCAACTTAGCTTGATATTAAGCTTTCAAATCCTTCCTCATCAGTCAGGTGGAGACAATCACAGCTGTCTAAGGAGTGAGTGACTGCATTTCCTTGCTTCTTGACACTTGAGACCTGTTCCTGCTCTAGTGGGAAATACGCAGCCTGTTCTCCCCTGTAGTTGAAATCTCATTCATATTTTCAAGGATTTTCCAGTATGGATGTTTTAGGATGCAGATGATGAAAAAATTGATATGGACAGTCTTAGATAAATGCATGGTGGGTAAAGAAGTTCTCCTAAACTGACAAGCTCGTGGTAGAGCATCAGCCTCATGAAACCAGAGGCAGGCCTTGCACTGTGGCACATCCTGCCAAACATACCTTAAATAACATACAGGTTATTAAATCACTTACTTAAATATATTTACATTAAAGTAATTTCAGCAAATCAGAATTAAAAAAAACACAACCCCCAGCTCATCTGCTATTCACTCACATCCTCTGGAGCCTGGTTTTTGATTAGCTGTATTTTCTGTAGAAGGTAATATTTTTTTAGAATTCTGTAAAATATTCTCAAACAAATTTATTCCATCAGCTGTGCTATATTGGAGAAAATAATCTGTCTCCCTACAAGTCTAAAGCTGTGAGCCACTAAACTAAATCTTAAGTGTTACGCTTCTTTCTACATTTTCAGTCTGACCAAAGAAAATGTAGGCAATTTTCAGAGTAAGGACTATCATACTTTAAATATAGATAATTTTGTGGAATGTAATGTTGCAGCAGTGGAGCAGTATAGCAAATAAAATGTCAGCCAAGAATGCTGTAGCTTTATGGTCTTGGGTATATGCTGAAAGAAACACACTGTTTTTCTTTGCACTCAAGAAGAAATTTTGCCAGCATGTGCATTAAAAGAGGTCAACAGTCCTGCAAGGTGCTAATAAAGTATAAAGTAATTTTCATGCAGTTTTCACACTTTTTATCCTAGAGCACTTTTCAAAAGTAATAATAAGTAGTATAAGAGAGAGAGCAAAAGAAGAATAAAGAATTACAAAGGAAAAAAAAAAATCAAGATGCTTTGAAGCAGGGGGAGAATCAGTGGTTTATGTGAGGCTACATTATACCCCAGCCTCCCACCCCACGCAGACATACCAGGTGGGGATGGTTTCACATGACACAGCAGGCACGGCACAGATGAGCTGATCCAAAAGCGAGTGGCCATCACAAACGGGCAGTTTTCCTTCCCTCAATTACTGTTGCACCATTTCCCTTGCACTGGATGTAAGGATGGTGTCATTACCGGGCGAGTCAGTTTATCAGGCTGATCCAGCACAAAGCCATCCCGAGGGGCAGCAGAGCAGAACTGAGGAGCAGTTCTTTGTCACATCAGCCAGCTGAACCAACTCACCGTGAAGCCATGAGTGGTAGTGCCAAGAAAAGGAGAGAGAGGAAGGCAGGAGCCTTGGCCAAGGGCTGCCTTTTTAATGGGGAAGTTACTGGATTACCTTAGCTGCCCCCTAAAAATGAGACTTTTGGTCTCCACCTGAAAAAAAACCTCCAGAACTGTTTCATTCTGGTTATGTTCTAATGAAAACTTAACTATTTGCCTCAAAATTAATGAGCATGTTTTGACAAACTTTCTGACACCAGAAAAATAAATTAAGAATGCCTTCGGATTCGTTAATTACAATCAGTTTACTTTTCTAACTTCTTCTTATTATCTTTTTTTAACTGTCACACTGGTCAAGATTATACAAACACACTTCCATAAAGCTGTATGTCTTTGCCTAGAACATGCCCTTGAAATAAGGTACACATTGCATTGTGCTGAAAGCCACAACAAAGCAGACTCTGCCTGTTAGCTCACATTAACTGAGTCTTTGGCTGATATTTCCATGGAAGGTATGCTGATCTTTCTAGTAGTGTCAATAGAATCACATTACTGCTCGAGTCATCGTTTTCTAAAAGCTATTTGGCAGCTCACAATTCATCCCCTACAGTTAGATTCAACACTGTTTACAGCATCTAATAAACAGGCTTAGTCAGATAGAAATTTAAGAGATACTTCATTATTTTTCCTAACGTGGTTAACTTCATAATAAAATGCCGTGTCTATTTAAAAATGTTATTCTTTTTCTTTTGATCATGAATCTTAATGCTTTATTTGTGACATCTGAGTTTTTAGTAAAAATAAATGCTTTTTCTGCTTGATGGGAAGAGCTCAAGTGGTTTAATTAAAGGGGATTAATTGAATTAACCTAATTAATTAATTCAGCTAAACCAAATGCTTAGAAATACAAGGTTAAGAAGTAGTTGTGTTATGCTATTCATTATTGTGTGAGTGCTCACAATCCTCCTCAGTGCAGTCAGCTGGGTTAGACTGAGTCACTGGTAAAAGCAGTTAAAGTAATCTTGCTGACTTCACAATGAAATTGGGTTTAACAGCATTAATAAACAGTAGGATAATAACAGCAGAAATAAGAGCAGCTGGAGCACTAACAAAATTAATTATGGCATCACAGCTGAGATTGATAATGAAAACCCCTGGACAGTAACTTCTCAAACTAGTACAGCTGTTTCCAAATAGCCATCTGTCTGGGCCCCAAGGCTATTTCATGTATGGATACTCTTAAATTAACTTAGCAGAGCGCAGTTAAGGAATTAATATTGAAAGCTGATGTGATATAGGCAATATAAACTTACAGTGGTTTAAGAAAAAATTGAAAAGGGGGAATTTTGCAACTTTCTTTGAAGTGGTGAAACAGCTGTGTGTCCTACAGTCCTGAAAAAACTGATTTGATGACAAGAAAGGTCTATGAGACTGATTAAAAGAAAATTTTCCTTTTGAAACAATTGGCAAAGGCAGCAAAGGAAACCTTATCACTACAACTCTCCGAAACAACATTAGTAGAGTTTATGGAAAGATTAAATTTCTTTATCCACAGGAGTTTTTTTAATCAATTGAACTGCCAAATGACACAGTCCACCCTTAGGCCCTACTTTTCTTAGGCAGCATTTTGAAAATGGTTTCCTCTTGTCCTCTGAAAATGCACTTGTAATTTTCACCTTTAGGATTTTACATGTATGAAGACTGTAAACCATGATGGTCATCATATGATCTAATATCATATTCATCCTTTTTCATAGGGGTGTGTTGTGAATATATAGGTTTGTTTCTTAGAAGTGGGATGTGTGCATTTGTAACTCTTACTGGTATCATGGATAATGGAATGTGTGAAAAAAACATGCCTTGATGAGATGGTAGAAATACTAACAAATTAGAAACAGAAAGTCTAAACCACAAACATTAAATTGCAATAATTTAAAATTAATTAACAAGACTGGTAGGCCATCTTCTGTTATCACCTCCAGGAATGCAATTTTCTAACAATTAACACTGACAGAACTGAACATGTACTACAAAGAAAAGAATTCAGCTTTTATGTTTTAAATCTATAATGAGAATAATTTTATCATAGTAAATTCGAATCCACTGTTTTCAGATGATCAAAACCAAATATATCTATGTTTTCTTTTAAAAAGATGCCTACATTTTTTTTTCAAAGTAAAGTCACAATAAACCATAGTAGATAGGCTATGAAATCCCACTTGAAGAAAACTTTGGTTGCTCTGCAGAAGTTTTCATTACATATTAGTCAAGTCTGCTGGAAGACAACTTATGGCTCCTTGATTTTATTTTTTCATCATTTTTGTACACTGTTACTAGTCACTGCATGATTTAATCTTCTAGGTCTAAGCTACTAAAGCCAAGAATTCTACTTCCCTTATATATACCTCATATATATACACACATGTAAATGCAGTTTCCCCCCGTTGTGATGGATGATTTTGTTCTTCAAAATTAATTAAATTCAGCTATAAAATATCCCTTAGGAAATTTCATGGACTGGTAAATAAAACCTGATATTTTGTAGATTAAAACAGTAATATAAATATAAATATAAATAAATTCTGGCAAAATCTACGCAGCCATTGTAACTGTAACCCTGCTATCACCAAAAAAAATTACTCTCCCTAAGGTCAGGACAAAGATTGGCCAGCTGAGAACACACGTTGGACAGTGTCATCAATCTGAAGGGCACACAGTGGTGGCTGGTACAACATGATTTCCCCTCTTTTCAGCACAGCCACAGCTGAACGACCCGTTCTCACCTCCAGCTGTGGGTGTGGAGTTCACTTCCCCACCTCCATCAGGGCCCAGTCCAGCCCACAGAGGCTGATAAAATGTAGACTGGTTGAGGAACTTGTGAATTTTCCTGAGTTAGTAGACAAAGAGGCTGGGTGAATAATCATAATTAAACCTCTGTGCCTAAGTGAATAGACCTTTGGCCCTGTCAGCGAAGCCTTGTCCACAAACAGGGCAAAAAAAGAAACAAATTACAGTGTTGGTTCTTAAAGCAATACAGCCTCATTTCCCTTGGCAATTTATTGGGTTGTTTGGGTTTGTTTTATTTTTTTAGAATTCTACAGGCCAAGTTCTGCTATAAATAACTAGAGTAAAATGCCAATAGAACATTTACCAGAGAAATCCCACAGTTTGGATAAACTGTACTACGACCCATCTGGTAGAAAAGTGTTTATATGGTGAGTAGCTGGTAGAGGTCTAATCCTGCCCTATGAAATACCGTGCCAGGAAATTGTCATAGTCTTCTGAAATTACTGAGTTTTGTATTTTTCATTGCCACTTTCAGCAACTATACAGGCAACTAACACAGAGTAAATAGTGACTGTAAAGAAACAGCCAAGCATTGCCACCAGACTTCACCTTCTCACTCAGGCTTAGCATCCTACTGTGGCCTATTTTTTAATACAACTCCAAGTATAAAAATTCAGCACAATGTAAAAAAACCCAACAAACAAACAAAAAACTCCTAACCCTCCCCACCAAAAAAAAACAAAAAAAACAAAAAAAAAAAAAAAAAAAACAACACAATTTAATTCACTTACCTTTTGCTTCCTGCTTAGTCCAGAATTGTGACACTACTTTATTAATGTGTCTCTCCTCTCTGAACTTCTTTTGCCACTGACGTAGCTCTTGTATTTCACTGTTACAACGGACCTGTGAAAGGGAACACAGAAAATACAACTACATTTATATACCTTTGTGTTACCCAAGATGATGATACAGTTTTTCTCATGGGGCTGTGGCCGGGCAAATACATGACAGCCATCCTTTTTACTGGGCCTGAGGTAAAAGCACAGTCTCAGGGGTTTACAGTTTTCAACTTACACAGAAATAAAACCCACATCATTGAGAGACTCCACTGGAAACATAAATATGCCAATTAGGGGATCACTTTGATTACCAAGGACTCCTGAGAATATGATTGCAGTGAGACGCTTATTCTTTGAGTTAATTAAAATTTCGAGCATTTTGCTGAAGGGTATTAGTGCCTTTAGAAAACCACAACACTATAAAACCAACCCAGTGACCAACATAACAGAGCACAAGAGGAGCATGAAGGGTCATACAGAAGGGAATTTATTCCAGCAAACTGATTCACACCTGCCATCAGCTGCAAATAGGCTGACTGGCAACCCCAGCCATACAATTTTCGCAAACAGGAGAGCCATTAATCTGTTATTCAAAGTAATTGGACTGCATTACATGATATCTATTCTTTGTCAGTCAATCACCCCATCAAGGCCATAATTCTGCTTCCACAAAAAAATTACAATAGCCATAGACCCTGATTCCATTTAGATTTAAGTTGAATTTTTTTAGTATTGTTGCTAACATAAAAGCCAGCCAGCTCTGCATCACCACCTTTTACCACTCTGCGACTTAAACTTAAACTTGTTGTAAGCCGGATTTGATTAATTAGCAGCCCATTGTCTGCCTTGGCATTCACACAATTACTACCTCCAGTGCACCAGATACTGTCCTTCTGAACAACAGTAGGAAGGGGACATGCCAGTATTACCTTAGACACTACTCTCTTAGAGTCATATTCAAATTGTAATCGAATTATTTTAAAAATGCAGCTCCTATTTTGGTTTGGGTTGGATTTTGTCCCCTAAATATTACATATAAAAAATGTCATCGTATCAAACATTCTGTGATTCTATGACTTAATGTCCTGGTAATTTGGGCAGACATTGAATAAACATGGTAGAAACAAGTAGCAATAAGCTCAGTTTCTTCTGGACACCTTTTTTTTTTTTTTTTGCAGGAAGATGACTACTTAGTTCTCTAGAAAATCTCTAAATCAATTTCTGTTTATTTTATTCTTACATGATACAGTAGTGAGTTTGCTCTGTGATTTGAACTCTGGTACTCTTCTCCATTACACTCTGCTTTTCTCTCACTTTACTAAGAGACATACAGAGCAAAAGAGCAGGACTTCAGTTTCCCACTGGTTATAAAAAAACCCAAACCTTAAAGAAAACAATATCAATTATTTATCAAAAGTATTCTTTCTACACAGAATTTCTCCTTTGTGCTGCAGCTGGGAATGCAATGGACAGTAGCTGAACTCCCATAGCACTCTTCAATCCACTTAGGAGAAGATAACTTGCTATATTTCAGACACTGCACTGGCAGAGCAGAAATACAATACAAGGTTACTCGATCAATAAAGACAGCCAAGACTTTTACTCAGTGACTTGACATCAGATACCTCTTAGGTCTCTAATAATATTCCATTATACTGATATAGTTTCGTAATATCTTCTATAAAAGTCATAAGAATTTCTTACAAGGTTGTTATGAACTTTTGAAAATGAAGTCACAGTTACTAGTGATCTTCTTTTCAGCTATACAAAAAACCAAGATCATTTTCCATTAAATCCATCAAATACTATTTGCAAAAAATAAAATATAATTCCAAATACAGGATACTATAGGCTTGCAAGAGACATTTTTTCTTTTAGGCTGTCATGTGTGCTTTTATAAGCCAAATAATTCCCTATTACATGGAGTCAGTTTATCTGCACAGGAAAGGGTTAAGGGAATGCTTATAGGACTCAAGCATATAAAAGACAGCAATGGAAGAGGCAGGAACATAGACAAATTACTACCTGTATATATAAATACAAAATTTCTGAAAAAATGATGTGCCCATTTACAACTTCAGCTGTGTAAGACCTGTATTTTGTCCCATGACAGGGCCACAGTGGTCTCTGTATACTGAAAATGAAGACAGCAGTTAAAAGATAAATGGCAAGTGCGGTAGGTTCTGTGTACTCTCCCTAGACAAATAAAACAGTGAAAGTGCAGTGGAATATATAATGAAACAGTGTTCTGAGATGAAGGCATAGTCATATACAGTCAAATACTCCAAAGTCCAACACTAAATCCAAGCAGTGAACATGAGCTTCCAGAACAAAGTGTCTTTTTTAGAAAAGCGACCAAAACAAAAGCAAAAAAATCACAAACAAAACACAGATATGCCATCTGCAGTAAAACAGGTAACAGGAACGTAACAAAATACATCAACATGTTCCAAATATGCTTAATAGATTACAGTTTAGCACAGTTGTGACAATTCCCCAGAAAGCTGTCTGTTTTGGAAGCAGAGTGCAGTTCCACCACGACTGCAAAGCCATGACTCAGCAGCAAAATCTCCAGGCAAATAAACAGAGTCAAAAGTCTTGTTGTCTCTCCTGCAGACCAGCCACGCCTGCAGCCCTGAAGGGTTCTTAGCTTTGAAGTGGGAGTTCACTCCTAGCCAAGTCACTTGAGTTGAATCTATACTTGCTGCAAAGAACAGGGCATGTTCATGTGACCTTCTGGGATTAAGCCTTTCCTGGGAGCCACAACTTGCTGGAAAGTAATAAAAGTTGTGATAGCAAGAGCACGACTACACTTTGAAAGATACAAATCAAAATTGAAGCAGGTTCAACTTTTCCTCAAACAACACGTATAAAATAGCACTGAATATTTACACAGCACTGTCCAATTTCAACTCTAAGAAAAATATACAAGACTTAGTCAAAATAAACTTCTTTCAATGCTAAGTGAGAACATGTTGCACAACAGCAGAAGGAAAACACCCCAAAACTTCACCCAGAGACATGCGAGGAAATTGTGTTAATGAAAAGTCCCCTCAGTCCACTAGTTCTGCAAATTGTAAAGTTTAAAAAGCCCCTATGAAAAAATGGCACTAAGCAAAGATTCTGCACTAGAGGGGTGAAGGAATAGATCATCCTGTGCTGGGAAAGTGCCTGGAAAATTGATACCTATCTAAATACTGCCTTGGCCTGTGACAGTTGAATGGAAGCTCAATAAAAAGGATGATGGAAAGTGAAGAGAAAGAATTCTGATGACAGAGCTGTGCAGATCTTCTCTGAGTGCTCCTCCTTGCCCTCAAAGAGCCCACTCAAGATGACATCTTTTCTGTGACCTCCTTACAAAACTCAGCAGTTGTAGCTCCCTCTGCTATTTGTTCTGGAATTTAGCTCTTGATTAAACTTGAAATAATTTTCAGAGTACCCGTCAATGTCTTTGTATGAAAGATTGTAGCAAGGACTCTTGATGGCAGCCATCAATTATTACTACCAAAACAAGCGTATTTCTCGAATGTGCTGCAGATAATGATGAATGTACTGCTTTGATCATGCTTTGCTATGAAAAAGTTCTCAATATTCTGTACCTATAGTGTTTTTTTCCCTTTACATAAAAAACCCTTTACTCTCTGATCCATTTTTGCATCTTTTTGCCACGTGTTTTTGATACTGGCACACTCAGACAGCTAGATGTGGCAGAAACAAGTGAAGTGCCATGAGAAGACATGATGCTCCGTCAGTTTTATAACTAGATAAACTCTACTGCCTAAATCAGTATGGTTAACAAAATACCTCAGAAGTGGTCTGAGTCCATAGAAGATGAGTCTTAGAAAACCAGCGATGAAGTGCACTGTCTCTTTAGCACAGTGCCATGTAAAGTATCTATATGTGCTTGTGTTTAATTATTCAATATTAAACCGCTGTGCACATTTTTATTTCAATAATGGTGTTCCAAAGTTCTAGATTCTATGAATTATAAAACAAGGTTTCATGAAAAACATCAGAAAATATTTTCAAATATTGACACAATAATATCCACAGAATGCAAAAGGGCATTATTTGTAAATGTTCAGTTATTACCACACTAAATCAGTGTTAGCTGACAGAGCTATCTATTTTAAAGGCAAATAATCTGGTAAATTTTCATAACATACTTCATCATTAATACAATGAAATCCCATTTAAGCTTAGTGTTCTCTCAATTTAAAAGCCCAAGGATAACACATTACCCTATGTAGTGACTTGTTACTCTTGATTTTTGTTTTATATTCTGATTTTAATTTTTGATTTTTTAAAAACCCGAGTGCTTTCATCTCAAATAAGATAAAACTTTAACAGCTAATTTTATAGTCTGAGTTATTTTTTATGTCTCCTACCTTTTACAGCTAGGGTTTCTCTCTCATTTCTGGGAACTGGTTTAGAATGATAAATACTAGGGTGAAAATTCTGAAGTTAATCTGTACAGCAAGGGAGAATCGTGCCCTTAACAAGCTTTTATAGAAGCACAAGGTACCTGAGCCACCTTGCACTGTTCAGCAAACATAACTGTTACTGGATAATCGTTGCCTTTGCAATACTCCTCTGCAAGGATGCCTGCAGGGATACTGTCTGGCCTAATTAATGTTACTGTCAATGCCATCTCTGTTTAAAAAAGAGAAATAAAGGAAAACAAACAACAGAAAGCGCCGCAAAAATCGATCGGTCAAGAAGACCATTTTGAGGTATTTCATAGTCTTTGGCTGCACAGCACATTATAGGAGCCACTTATATATTTGTGCTTGTTAAAAATAGTAAAAAAGACCTTAACAGAGAGTGGTTTATACTGCTTGTTATTTAAAGATCATCTGACATCCAGAGATGTCTCACTGTCCATCACAACGAAATTGCTGCTATATCTGGGGGCTATTTAGAAGGTTAAATTTTGATAAAGGAAGCAAAGACATTTCCTCATTACCGAAGTCACCTGAATTTCAAGTCTATTTCTTTCCAAGGCATGAAGCTTTAAAAAAAAAATATTTGACAGGATTTGTTCAGTATTTTCAAAATAATTCATTTAGCATCATAGGGTTAGGGTTAGCATGGCTGTTACCCTCCAAAATAATAGTATTGGACAATTTTCTTTGTATTTATTTTATGCTTCTTGCTTTCCCCCCTTAAACTGGGGATTGCATTACTAGTTGTATTACTAGTATGTCTTACAACATCTGCTCACCATTTTGCTTTCCCTTTCCTGGAATAAAAGCCTTCATGCCTATCCTACATCTCCTGTCTCATCCTTGGTCTCAATTTTTTGTTTCTGTGTGCTCTGTCTGAGCACACAGACCTCACCAATCCTCCTTGTGCATCTCCACCCTCACTCACTCACATATCCCTGCATGAAGCAAAACAACATTCCATCCTTTAGCAACTAACCAGAGCAACTTTCAATTTAAAAGAGAAAACTGTTCACTGTAATCACACTTTTGAAAATCGAATTTCTGTGGATTTTCTGTTGTAGAGGAAAACACTGAGATTACATCAGCATAAATGTCTGTGAAAAAAAGCTGTAGTCACTAGGCATAAGGCAGAGCAACATCCAAAGCCAATGAACCATAGGGGTCTCAGCAGCTATTTATAGTATCCCCTACTTAAAATTTATGTAAGGATTTTCCCTGGGGCCTTCACAGTCCTACAGTTTTCAACATCAAGCAAAATAATTATAGATTAGTCTTACCCGATAACCTCTCCAGAATGACTGAATTATTATGCTTGCTTCTTCTTCTGATAGAAGCAGAGATAGAGGAATTGGTGGCCTAGGACTTAAAAAAAAAAAAAAAAAAAAAAGGTTTTTTTGTAAACAGGCAGCCTATAAATGTAAAATACCTTCTACCCTAATAGTATATTTTATCAAAAAGATAAATGCTGTTTAGGAGCTTGAAAGGTACAGTTTCTTATTGCCCTGAAAATAAAATGTGCAAAGAATATCTCCTTTACAAATACACTGTTATATACTCTGCAATAACTTCTTCTTAAAACAATCATATACAAATGGCACATCAAGCACAATAATCTTGCTTATTCTTCTACAGGGATTTCAAATTCCCACTGTTATGGTAAGGTTTGAGGTGGCAGTAGGAGGGGGACAAGGGAAGGAGCCTGCCATTTGTAAAGCAGAGGAGGTTTTAGTGGGCATGCAACAATGAACAGACTTATGATGTAAATGTCTATTATATTAAAAACACAGAATTTAAACATATTTTAGTGCATTAATTTACATTATGATATCCCTAAATTAAAACATACTGAAAAAAGTAATGTTTACCATATCTGCATAGCATGGACTCATGTTTAGAAATGTCTAAACAAGTTCTTAAAGTGCTAAAAATTTACTTTTGATAGCATATACACACTGTTTGGTGATAAAAGAAAGTAATACATATGTGCAACTATTCTCAGCCAAAACATGCCCTATTTTTGAAAGCATGTTTAGTGATTCTGTTACTACCAATTTTAATGGGAAGCAAAGTGGTAAATAAATTCAGCCATCACTAAGAAAAACTGAAAAGGCTGTGTGAAATCTTGCTTCCCAAAAGCCACTTTCTGTGGGTGCTGATTTATTGCTCCCATATAGTGATCAAAAAGCATCCAATGGAAAGGACAAAACAAAATACATTTATATACTTCTTTTCATAATAAATGTAATTTATAGCTAATGAACTATAGGGCAATAATGCTGCAACCCATGAAAATCCCAGTAATGAAGAGTAGCCTTGGCACAGCGTTAGAGGAGCTGCCAAGGACCTCTCCCTGCGTGGGGAACAGGCTGAACACAGCCTTGACTTGGAAAACCACAACATTATGAATTTGGATGCAGCAACCACCTCTAGCATTTGCAGTCCATGCAGGAACATTATCTGTGGTATTTATAAAGACACATATACTGCAAAGCCCATTAATTGACAAGCTATTTATTTATGCAGTGTTAGATTTTCTGGCTAAAACACAGCAATTTCCTTTGGAAATTTATTTTACAGTATATTACAGCTCAAGCTAATAGGCTTGACAGCTTTCATTTTCCTTTCACTTAATTTCATTCCTATTAGTCTCTGCCCTAGTAAGCTTCCTATGCTCTCTGACATCTTTCTCTTAGGGCTTGTCTTCACTGCAGGAGCATTTCAACTTAGAGCACAATCTTACCTCTTATCTAATGCTGCACTGACTGCATCGTTTTAGTCTGTGTACTCAGCTAAATTGGTCTCATCATCGTGTCAGCTGGGTTTTGGCCTACATTTATTTTAATGGGAAATAAAACCTTGGTCTGTTTGGAAAAACTGAAATAAGACAAAAATAAAGAGCAGTCTCTCCATTAAGCTAAACAGTCTTAGACCTGTGAATGTTAATTAGCATTCCTCCTGCTCAGGGGAAATCATAAGTGCTGGACAAGCAAGGCTTCCTGAGCTAACAGCTTCTTATAATCAGACTTAAAGTTCTGAAGTTGAACTGTGCTGGTTTCCCTGGCAGACTTTCATCCTCTGTTCTATTTTTGATCTTTTTGAAACCCAAAACTTAGAGGGGGAAAATCACGGGAAGACCTACATATTTTACAGCAGTTATATCAAAGCCATCGAACTCCTCTAAGAAGGAGCACATCTCCAAAGAACAACTTGAGATTCCTCCCAGCCTGCAAGGTCAACTGGAGCAGTGGTTTCCTTTCATTTTCAAACTATAAAAATGTCTAGTTTATAATCCAACACTGCAACTGAGAAACCAATATAAAAAAATCAAGCAAGAACAGGACTTAATTTTCAGCATGGTAAGTATCAATCCTTTTTGTCGGAGAGAAAATACGCAATTGGCTGCTGGTCAAATGAAAATAGAATCGGAGCAGAGGCAATCACCCCTCAGCAGTGAACTAGGAAAAGAGGGAGTATGTCATTGGTGGCAGAAGACAGCTGTATGCCTCCAAGAACATTAGAGTTGACAGTACAATGTACACTAACTATATTCTGCTTATTTAGTCTTTGATTATGCATGATCTTAAAAGCCACATATTAAACATATCAAAATCTATTTTGACACATATACATTGTTTAACATAAGTTGCACCCGCAAAAGAGCATCAGTTAAACGATTTTTTTTTAAGTATTTTGTTTTACTGAGTCTGAATAAAGCAGACACTGACCAGAGGAAAGTTAAGTTCCAGAAACAAGTTCCTTGCTTTCTGAGCAAACTTGTACAGACAGATCCCGATTATGTGATGTAACATTATACAGGTGGAATTTGGCACCCAGAAGACACAAAACAGACTTGCATTAAGTAAATGTATGAGGTAACCTCTGGGGGTTCACAGTCACACTATGGGCTGAATACAGTCAGTATTTCTACACAGTAATGCCCAGAAACCCCAATTGTCTCTAAGTTCCCAATCTGTCATACAAATAGGCCTGATTCCTTCCTTGACAAGAAATCTAAGAAAAAATTTAATCAAGAAAATTTTCAGTATATATAATCCAGGATTTTTTAATTGCTCTTTTTATTCCAATCTGTTCCCCTAACAGTGACAGACAAAGAAATTTAACCATCAGCCTTACAGACTGTGCTGCAGAGATCAGTGCCTGGGGCTCCTGGTGTGCAGGTGAGAGTGGAACATCCAGGGGCAGTCCCTGAATCATCAGGGCTCCTCTCTGCTTCAGAAAACTCATCTCTAGAAACATTGAAGCAACCCTAAGGAAAAGGTTCAGGACAGTCACGGCCATATTAAGCAGCCACATTCACTTCCCCTTTAGTTTGACTGTGATGGTTATTGTTCTTGACTGTTTATATCATGTACGAAACACAGGCAATGACAGAGTCACTGCAAAATTGTAACCTAAAAGAACAGACCAAAGGATGGGGATAAATATCAGACATGCAAGTAAATGACCCTGGTGATCTGCATAAGTCTTAAAAAAAGGGTTTTCTGAGAAAGTCTTTGGTCTGGGAACTACTCCAAAAATTCACATGCTGGTCTGAATAACTAAAAAAACTGGAAATTTGTCAAAGTACATTTTTTTTTTCTTTTCAGTATTTCTTACTCAAATGTTCTAGAAATACTACAGCAACACCTGCCTTCATTAAGTCTTTCTTCTTACACGCCTATCCAGAGCTGCTAAAGTGTGCAACAATGAAAAAGTATTGTTTTGATTCAAAATAAATGTCTCAGCAATCTCTGCATACAAATACTATTAAGGTAATTTACCCAAAAAGCAGGAAAAAGATTGTTCATAAGCAATCAGACACTGAAGTACTCATTTATCAGACCTGTTATTTAGAATCAATTAGATATATTAATTAAATATTACACTTGCACTGTATGAGTCTCACAGGTTTATTTTACAGGGAAGTATTCCCACAGACACTTGACAGAAATACCCTGGAGCATTTTCACAGGTCAAACTGAGTGTGAACTGAGACCTTTCTTTGTAACATTTTCAGTATTAACATAACTATTCCACGGTCAGAAAGAAACTACTGGTTTTGCAGCAATCTAAATGCACTAGAACAAGATTATTAGTATTTGAAGAGAAGAATCCCTAGAATATAGAAGAAAACATTATAATGCATTATATGGAGGGTACATTTTTGAAGGGTTGCAAATGTGGGAATACCCAAATTTAATCTCCTTAAAAGAGGGATTGCAAATGAGTAGACATTTTAAAGTGTGACTCCCACTAGTTATCAGGAGTCTGAACTGTTCTGCTCTATCACCTTCTCCAAATAAAAGCTCCTTGATACTGATAATAGCGAATTGAAGAATTAAAAAAATCTATTAAATCCATTTGAGAGTACTGTCAAAGTGGCCACAGTGATAATATGCATCCAACTGTTAACACATACAGACTATTTATACACTTACTTGCCTGTTTATAATGAAGAAAAGAAATTATAAAAAGAAAAGATAGCATGGAACGAATGTGAAAGTCATCATGTGGGGAGGCAGAGTCCTGTAATGGGCAGGAGACTGAGGCAGAACAGGTGACTGGCAACAAGAACGTGAGAGGAATTCGAGGAAGCACAGCAAGAAGTCTCAGTAGTGAGAACAAGCCAAAAAATAGCAGTGCAAGAATCTTTTGTCTCAAGCTCTGTCTGGAAATTATAGTGGCTTTCTTGCCTCTTAATATGGTCTCTCCTTGGGGAGGAGTCACCATTTTAATGCTTAAAGTCAGCTCTCCTGTGCTTGCAGACTTGCTATACCTTTTGAAAGTCACCTCGTGTCACCTCACATTTTCTGTCTTGTAGGACTAGTATTTATGTAGTTTGTAAGAGTGTTCTTGGTCCTGCACTGAAAGAAATTAAACATGGACCTATCCCAAAGGCCACTCATGTCAATGGGAAAATTTCCATCCCTGTTTGTGTACTTTAGATCGAACTTCATATCCTGAAAACATGACAACCTAACAGCAGCAAAAATATCCTCCTCTTAGTGCTCTGAAGCAGCATTTGGAGAATGTCACCAAGCACTAATACATTTTCAATTTTCTAATTGCCATTTTGACAATCTTTACATGAGTTAAGGCACATTTCAACAAGGCATCAGGAATCATACCGTGAAACCTTCAACTCCATAAAGCATCATTACAAAATGTAAATACTTCATAGAGAAACTTTGTGCAATTTTTCAACACACAGTTTTTAAGTAAAAAAATTCTCCTTTGTTAACTTGAATTCTGCCACAGTGCTGGAATGGCAGTGTTTTACTTGGAAACACACAGAACAACACCCATACAGATGTATTTGTTGGATTTTTCTGTTACTACAAATAAATCAGCTGTCCCTAACCCCCCAAAAATATTTTTAAAATTATTATTAAATTATTAAATCAAATTAAAGAAAAAAACATAATGCAAATCAAACATACTCCAAACATGTCTGTTTTAGAGACAACTGAACTATAGCAGTGTGCAGAAAGCAAAGCCTGTAGAAAGTGGGCATATTATGGAAAGAAAAAAAATCAGTCACCCGTGCAAAATTACCCCTATTGGCCATCTGAGAACTGACAATGAAGTCAACTGTAAAGGCAGCTGAGACCAGCAGACTTCACCTAATTAAAATATTTAGAGGAGAGAGAAAAAAATAATCAATGTATACGTATGCATATAAAGATATTTGACAAAAAGCCACTAGAGCCACTAGTTCTAATTTAGTATCATTTATAGACATATGTATCTTAGCTGCCTACCTCACTAAAGCAATGATAAATTTAGTTGCTCTGTGTCTGCATGCTTGTTTTGGTACACACAGATAGATTAAACCTGGAAATGTGTCTTTCTGAACTGAGTAACAAGTAAATATCTCTAATTTAATTAAAAAAAAAAAAAAAGAAGCAGGTTAAAAAATCTTGTGAATTACTTTTTATCTGACCTTCAACAGCCAGGAAAATACTTCTGCTTATTCCTAACCTAGATCCATACGCCAACCTCTCTCATTGAACATAAGGGCCGAAAGTGAACTTGAACAATGCTGTCAATATTATTAAATTAATGTGACAGACTTTTATAACTGTTTTTCAGAGCAGTGGAACTGATTTTTTATTGGTTTCTTCATGTTTCTTTCAATAATATGCTAAACAAGGTTATGCAATGACACTGCCATGATACTCAGAATGCCAGAAAAGTAAAATTGCAGGGGGATCAGAGCATAAACAGAGCTCCCTCTTTCCCTGTCCCTCCTTCAGTACACAGAGCTGGGTTGCTTGTGACTGAGCTTCACTGCTCTTCAACCAGAAACACCTCTGGAAAATGCTGACAAAAGGGAACCATGTTGCTCATTAGCATATTTACAGGAGTACAAAACATTCACAGCTCTAATTCCATTCCCTTTACTTGGTTCTATCAGCAGCCCTCAGTGCAGGAGCAGGCACATCAGTCGGTATCTCAGCAAGTTCCCAAACACTTGTGCTGGTCTCCTGTTCCATCTCCAGTTCCTGCCCTCTGAAAGGTGCAGCTCTGCTTTAAGGCAACAGAAACCTTTTGTGCTCTCCTGGCTGTGATATGGAGATTACCAGTCAGCCCTGAGGCTGCTCCTTCCACTGCTTTTGAAATCTGCTTCGGGATTTAAAGATTCCCAAGGGATATAATATTTTGCCAGTGCTACTGGTAACAGAGAACCCAGAAAGAGACAAGGTAACTGTACTGAAGCTTTATTTACTGATGTCATAGCAATTGCTATAAACAAATTCAAATCCTACAAGCTTCTTCACCTACAATAACCAGCTTTAGAAGGTACAACGTTTGCATTTAAAATTCTGGGAACCAGTGCAGCATTTAGGTCTCCTTATAAAGGAAAAGTAGGCTGCAAGATCTCATTTAGAAGCACATCTTACAGAGAATGAGGCTCATAAGACTGTGGCTTTCACTATTCTTACAAAAAAAAAAAAAAATTGAGCTTCAAAGAAGAAACTGGAGGCACTGGAGGAGAGCCAAAAAAGTCATACTCAAGTATGGAATATATTAAAAAAAGCTGGATCTCCTCTAGAACAAAAATTATCCCTCTGGGGTTTTTTGTTTTGGTGGGTTTTGTTGTTTTGGGTTTTTTTCAAGCATTAAAACTGCTTTGCACTGATAAACTGATCTAAACAGTTGGTATAAGGATGTTTCCCATCAAAATTTGACCAGCACTTTTTAGCATATTGTCTCTTGTATATTCTTAATCCTGTTGAAAAACTGAAAACTCCTTTAAAAATAGAAATTGAGATGACAATAAAAAGCATAGAATCAGTTACATTTCAAGTGTGATATTTGGAAGGATATAATCATAATCTATTTAGGACATATCCAGAAGGACATAATAATGAATTCTCTCATTTTTATTCTTATTTAATATTGCAGTCTTTCACTTTGCTCTAATAATGCTTATTTTATAAGCAGTATTCATTAAATCTGCAATTTTAAGATAAGTCCACAAAAAGTTGCTATTTAATAATAATTTTAATAATTATCATTTTAAAGGCCTACTTGTTTAGAGGATTTAAGATGAAGTGTATCAACTTAAGCAGGACTTTGACACTTCAGTGTCCTTGTGGAGCTGTCACTACATTATTTAGGAGCACCAGCACTAACAGAAGCTATGAGTCACTCAGGCTGTGATTCCACAGTGTATTTCTCTTGTTGGCAAAGCTGACTTAAGCAGTTCCTGCCACCACCTCTATATCTTAGCAGCTCATTTGTTCTCTTCACCTTGCCCCAAGCCCTTCATTTTAATCCTTTGTTTGTGCCAATACACAGGTTGGTCACTCTCCAAGGTGAAGCAGATTGGAGAAATTATCTGTGTTTTGAATAGCTATACAAACCCTCCTCACACATTTTGGCAGAGAGATTCCTAACTCAGAGTAGGCCCCTGATCAGAATAACCAAGCACCCTACCAAACAGACAAGGTGATGATATCAGGTTGCCTACAAGCAGGTTGGGATGAAGAACAGGAGAGAGCCGGGAACCATTTCAGTCAGCTTTACTTCCAAGAGAAACATTTGTAAAACTGTGACCTTGGACATCTCACCTTAGGGACAAATATCCATCCTCAGAAATCAGGGGTGTCCAGACTGCCTTACTAAGGTATAGCTCTTCAGTGCTTAAGCAATGATTATGACAACCTCGCTGCAGTTCATGGTCACTTTGCAAAGGACAAAATTCTCTGCCTTAAATGGGAACCTCGTTGCCAAGAACGTGTTGCCTTGTTGGACAGGAGGAGACAGATGTGTTCCACCAGGGGCAGGTTCCAACAACAGTGGGTGGACAGCACAGTGATGCAGGGGGTACCTGAAGGTATCGGGGTTGAGATGAAATGGGTCATTCTGCAGAGGTGCTCATGTCTTACTGCAGAAACTTTCTACATGAGTCTAGACTCCAATTAAGTTTAAAATCTGACCACTGTAATTTTCTTCTCTCACTGTGGATTATGACTTTTCTTACACACCAGCTGTATTTTAAAACTACATGCAGTCTCAAGGACAGTAACATTTCTTTCAAAAACTACTATGAAGCTTGGCTCTACAGCAATAAATGACTGAGGCTGCCAAAACAAGTTTTTCTCAGATACAAAGTCATAAATGTCTTCAGAAATGCATCCTGACACCAAGGATTATTACAGTTATTTTTAAAACAGCTGCCTACAGCTAAAGGAATAATTTCTTGATAATATCCTCAAAGATTTCCACAGTAGGAAGCAGCAGTGAAAACACTGCTTTGCTCATTAATACAAAGATATTCATAATACTACCAGACTATTCAAATGTCCTGCACTCTACAATTAAGATTTCTAATTCTAATTTCTAATTTTTTTCTAAATTTTCTAAATTTCTATTTTTTTTCTAGAATTTTCTAAATTCTAAAATTTCTAATTTTAAAATTTCTAAACTAATTTCTCTGTAAACAGTTCTGGTACAAAACACCTTGTAAGTAATATATGAGCAAGTTAGAAAGCATCAGTAGTTCTTGCTGCACACAGTAAAGGGAATTTTGAGGGCACAGCTGCAACAGGTTGAAGCTCTATTACTTTTTCAGAATGGCAGGGGTAAAAGAATAAAAAGAATAAAGGTTACTCTGAGTACTGCAATAACTTACTGGTCCTTGAGCCAGTCCTTAACAAAAGGAATGGAAAAGAATTCTGTGAATGACTCATCTTTTCTCTTCGGGTTCTTGCTAAAACAAAAAGGAAAACAATTCATATTAATTTAAATTTCAGCTATTCAATTTGAAAATTAATGCCTTTGAATCACTGAGTATAATTAATAGCAAAAACCATGATTAACTTACTTGTATAACCACTCAGTTAGGAAATCAGAGGCAATAAATTTGGTTCTTCTTCCCTAAAGATAGAAGACAGTTTCAAATTATTTATTATCTTTGGATTGGTCATATGTTTTTACTACTGGAGAGGAACAGAAGCTAAATTGATTGCTTTTATTAAATAAAATATACAGTCCATTACTCTGTCTACTTTAATACTGCTACTGCCAACAGTGGCTCTGCCAAAATTTTAGAAATTTTGTGGAACGCTTTCAAGTCAAGACAAACTATGAGTGAGGAAATTCTACATATATTATCTTGATATTTGCTGCAGTATATCTAGAATTAATATCTCTGAATGGTGCTCTTTCAAAGTGGCAATCTCATCTTGAGGAAGTTAACAGAGCTCATTCATACATGAAAATATGTTGTCAATTACTTGCCATTTTGCTCAAAGTTCTATTATCATACTTAAAATTCTTCATTTCTTCCAAGACACAGAAGGAACATTGATTGGATATTGCTTCCTCCTGCATGGAACCAGCTTGAAGGCATTGTGAATACTTTAGGCACACACAAACAGAGCATTGTATGGCTCCTCAGACCAAATCATGTCCTGTGGTCCAGAAAGGAAAACAAAAGCAAAGGAAGGGATATGTCTGTCCACAACCACAGGTACCATGGACATTACAGAGGATCAGGGAAAATGTTCAAAACCTGGAGCTTCAGAGCAAAACATTTGAGCCCTTTGCTCCCAGTTCTAAATCTCAACCAAAAAAAGAGAGAATTTTGCAAAATGCCTTGCAGCAGGCTCTCCTTAGGGGCACATGCAGCCAGTACCTGGACAGCCAGCTGTTCAAAGCATGACTTTGGGTAAACAAACAATGGAATAGGACCCTCCTTTTCTTAAGGATTTCCTCTCCTGAAATGAAAGTATAAATGAGTACAGGTGCTCATTCTGCTTATCACAAACGAGAGGAACTATGGTATGGGGAATATAATGTAGACTTCTGGTTGGAATAACAGAAGAGCTTGACTGGTGTCTTTGGAATGGCTCTTGCACGAGTTGTGTTATGGATGTACAGTCATGAGTGAACACTGAGACATTCAATCCCTGCAGACCAGAGACACCGAGGACTTTATCACAATTCTACATTCATCTAAATTCTACACTTTGACAACAAAATTCAATTTAATCTAGCAGTTGTAATTTAATCTGTTTTAAGTAAATTGCTTTTCCTCTGCAATGGGAAAAATGATCAGAACAGGGTTGTCAAAACAGTCATTACCAAAGGAATCGAATTCATCTTGTTTTATCCTTGTTAGAGGCAGTGAACTTATCAGGGAGGAATTCTGTCAAGCTCAGTATTTTGTTATTTTGGGGGTTTTTTTGCCAGGAAACAGTTTATTTTGCTAGCGAATTAAATCATTAGTTGCACAGCAGTCAACATTTATAAAGGGAAAAAATTACATAAATTGACCTGCCTTTGACACATTCCTCCTATGTGCTGCATGAATCAGGATAAACACAGGAAATATCTGCACAATGTGCATTGTTAACCTGCAGATGTGTTTATAAACTACTTATATTTGGAATTCATTTTCCACTTTTCAGTTTAAGTGTTATGGGCTTGGTAATAATCATGAGAAAATACTGGCGATCAGAAGATGGCAAAGTCATTAGGAAACCTTTTTCCATTCCCTTTCCCTGATGTATCACACTTTAAAATATAATATATTCCATTACAGAGTCTGATAGAGCATCCTCCTTCAGTAGGGTAGCTTACTAAAGAGAAAAGTCAGAGCTATGCTAATAAAAACATTTATACATTGTTCAGTTTTAATGCTGAAAAATGAATGCATTAGTCAGTTCTCATGAGAGAAAAGATTTAAGAAAACAGTCTTTCCCCTGGAGGCATGTGACAGCAGAGAGGAAAAAGCACAGGAGAACTTATGGTAGGGAAAAAAAAATCAGTGAGGGAATACACTGGGCAACCTAACAGGTTTCTTTCATCTCTACTTTAAAAACGAAGCTTCTGCAGACTGTTCTCATGTTTCTGGCAGTTTGAAGTCTGCACATCTACCTGGCAGCTGGTGGGTTTTCTAGGTTTTTGCTTTTCAGATTTTTCATATGCATTGCATAATGCCAGAGAGCCTATTTCAAATGAAATGTTTGAATTGGTACATTGCTATATCACCTTCCAAAGAAGATGTTGCAGATTTCTTTCCTACACAAATCACTACCTCCAGCATAACTGTCTCCCTTTCCTGACTTTCCCATGTGATTACAATTCTTCCTCTCCAGACATGGATGCATCTTTTCTGGTCTCTTCCTCTGTTGGTTCCATGATCTCATCTCACCAGTTTCAATTACTCAACAACTCTCCTACTTAATTTTTCATTCTCTTCTCATTCATCTTAATTTCCTTTCAAAACATGAAAACTTTTAGTCCCTCTCATCAAAATCCTACTCTTCATTCTCCCTCACAATTCCCTCTCCCTTCTCCCAGGCTCATTCAACATTGACTGCAGTCAGTTCAATTATTCCTCCCTTTCTTCCAGCGCTCCTTCCATTAATCTTCCCGTGGTTTATTCTGTACAACTGCCCTTTAAGGGCTTTAATGACTCATGTCAAACCAAAATTCAAACCCAGCATTCTCATCCTTCACGATTTCAGTCAGCTTAATCACAATTAATCTTGTTCTTCTCCTGTTCTCTCATGAATTGCACGAATCTTTCAAATCTTTGTTATCCTCCTGTTTTTTGAAGTTATTTTCCGGTGTGTTTATCACAAGATCCTTTCTCCCTGTTTCTACTTCGCTCTGGGTTTCTAAGGACTCTGGTTTTGATCTTAAAAATCAGTTCAAGTTATTTCATGAACTATTTTGATACAAATTACAGAATGTTTTTTTTTTTTCTCCAAATCCATATGGATAAATACATTTCTTATGAAACAAAAGTATAAATAGAAATCATGTATTTAGGTCAGATAAGGAAACAGAATGTCCAAGTACAAGCACCTGGACAGCAATGGAAAAGAACACAAATATTCAGTTATATGGCAAGCATAAAGAGCTATTGTTTTACTAGTTATTGTTCAAAAGGAGGAAGAAATGATGTCACAGTGGAAAACTATCATTTAACATAAGCTTGCTCTCCCTAAACTCGGTTCCCCAATATCAGGGCATCTCTTCAGATAAGTGTCTTTTCTATGAGCTATACACATTTTTATGAATATTCTAAACATTAGAAAAATACCCTTTATTAGTTTGCTGTAAAGCAACAGACCCATACAAAATCCATTTTCAGAACACATACTTTCTAACACATATATATATACCACTGCAAAACTTCTCAGATTAAAAATAGACAAAGTAACTTCAGATTTGTTCCAAGTTTGAAACTGAAATATTTCTAAGAATTTTTTTTTTTATTAAGTGCTGGTTTATTGCCTCCAGAAATAGGTAACATCTACCAAGGACTGTATTTTCAATCAGTTGCAGGACATGTCTTTTTCCTGTTAAAGGATACATGCTTCCTTTAAAAAAAAAAAATCAATATAGATTTCATTAAAAGTGTGATGAATAATATATATGTTCAATCTGTTCTTGGCTAGGTAATGTAAATGTGATGGCAGGAATGATGGACAGGGATGTCATGTAAATGAACCGTTTTCCTATTTCACCTGTATTAATCAGAGATTATAAATGAATATACACACACCTGTAAATCAGTTTATTGACACACAGATTTTGAGAAAACTGAGAAAATTTTCAAATAACTGTAACTAAATGTACAGATTTGGATTTGAAATTCAAGTACTCATGGGTGGACAAAAAGCAGAAATTATGGAAGACCCCACAACTCCCAGTACCTAAGGTGTTGCTGGTGGTCTGTGAGTCAGGCTGTGGTGATACAATGAGCTTTATTTTGCACCAGTTCTAGTGGGTTTTTAAGCACTGGCAATATACAGCCAGGAATGTCTCTCTAGATATGCCTACAGACATATACACTGAAAACAAATTTATGTAAGTATATGTAGCAAAAAATTATTTTTTAAATGTACATTTTTATAAGCTCATTAATGCCCAATACCCTGTTTTCCAAATAAATGGAATTTACACAGAATGTTAAAAAGCTAAAATAGAAAATTTATCTCTATTAGGATGCCAGGCCAGCAAACCATGAAGTAAGAATCAAGTTCTGTACAACACCCTCAAATGAGTGATGTGTATTAATCTGAGAGGAAGCCTGTTTCTCTAAAATATAACACTATTTAAGCTAGATACAAATGGATATTTAAGGAGGATTTGTTGGAAGCTAGAGATCATCATAATGATCAAGTGTATGTAGTATGCAATCTGTTCTGAATTACTGAAGAAAACAACATTTAAAACCAGGTCCAAAATAACTTATTATACATTATATCATATAATTGTGGTTGGTTTTCTTGCAAAAGACCAAATTTTAAAAATACTTCCTATGAAATACAGGCTGTAACTTCCTGACGATGGTTTGAAACAAAAGCTGCAAACTAACCTCAAAACATTTTTCTTTCTCTGCTTCATGCAGAAGCTCAGCCAGCCCAGGTAAGAGTACTGGAAATATGTAGAACTCTAAGTATTCTCGAGGAGAACCTGAGCAAAACAGGACAGCCTTCACTTACAGGTAAGCACTCCCATTTCACAAAAAGGCAAATGTCAGAAATCACACACTCAGTACCAGTCATTTTATCAACACCATCACAGCATGCACTAAACAGATTTGTTCAGCTCAGATACAGCCACTGGTCTGTGTTCACTCCTCTTCAGCCAAGACGACATAAATTTGAGCAAATTTCAAACTAAAGATGCACCAACAGTGCAGACTCAGGGTGCCCCAGAGATGTCAGACTTAGTTTTAAATGAGTAAACTCAGACACCAGTAGCAGTTTAGTCACATAAATGAAAAGCAATGTGGACTAATTTACCCTGACAGGAAGAAGTTAGCCTGTGCTGAACTCAGTGCTGTTACAGCCAGACCACTTTTGGTATCTCATGCCCTTTACAATCTGCATTATCAGAGCTGGTCATAAAACTGAATTTCTAGACAGAGGAAAAAACAAAGGTTATATTTCAGTGTGATTTCTTTGTCATAATTACTTTGTACTTGCCAGATGCTTCAAAATTTGAATGTGACTCCATATATCTGATTTTTCCCCTTTCTGAGGGCTGCCTGGGTTGGCATCTCTCTCCATTCAGGAATTATTCAGGTTTTGGTGTGGTCAGTAAAGATAAGTCATAGATTGGTTCTCTTCTGGCAACACAGCTGAAACACTGAACGTATTCTCAGCTTTGTATCTTTAATTGGTTTATATACTGCCAGAAAAATGTTCATAATTAAACAATGTTCATAATTAAACAATTACAAACCCTTAATATGCTGCTACTTACATGTTTTCGGGTCAGGTGGTTCTGAAGAGGGGGCTGCCTCGGCTTGAGGAAGCAACTGTCGGTCAACAGTACCAGCTGCAGGGGCAGAATTAAATTGTTCCATATCTAAGGGCTGCAATATTCCTGCTTCCAAAGACACCTGTGCAAGATAAATGTAACCTGTCTAAATACTCCAACAGACTACACAAAAATACGCAAACCAACTCAGCAGGAAAAATTATAGGGCCAATTAAGAATTATGGAACTATAACTTCTTATTCAAGTATTAAATTATTTATGTATTTTCTGAGTGCTACCCAAGTTGCTTTAAATAAAAGCAATTATTTGGACACTACATTTGTTGATTCAAAGAAGTTGTTTAAAAAAATGTAGGGGTTTTTTTTCATTTTATGAATGAGTCTACCATGTGGGTACCTAATTTTCTCATTTAGTTATTTTAAATCTCTTTAAACCAGCCCCATGCAGACTTTTTTCTTGAACTGTACACACAGATTCTTGTTTTGATTGAGGAACATCTGGAAATTGAGGGTGTTCTGCTTCATACTCTAAAAGTGAAACAAAAAGAGTACATTTTCCAGAAGACTTTAATTTAAAAACATATTTATTTTCCTCCTAAACAACTATTCCTTTCTAAACCTACTTATTTGCATTTGAAAGAAGTTAGTGTACAATAAATATTTGTTAAACATGAAATCGAATGTTTTAATACAAGTAAGAACTTTAGAGCCTCCTGTCTTGGCTGTAAGTCAAGTGCAAGGTTCTCAGTGATAAAAGAGCCCTTTATAGGGAAAAAGATTTTTAACCAAAATAATAATTTAAAATATTTCAACACAAGTAAAATGCAGATGCTTGCATGGAATTAACCATTGTTTTTGCTAGCAGACAATACTGCTTTTCACAGTGGATTCCTCTATAAGCAATTATATCCCACAGACATTGCTAAGTATCACTGTCTCCACTTTCAAAAAAACCCAAAAACCAAAACAAAACAAACACCACAAAAACCCACCAAAGACCACCAAAAAACCTAAAAGAAGTACATGGCTCTCACAGATTACTGAGTGACTCAGGATAAGGAAATGGACTTGATATGAAAAAATTTACAGATTACACAATACAGAACACTCAGAGCCAAACCCAAGGGGTTCACTGTTCCAGTAATTAAGTTCACTGGCATCACCCAATCCATGTGTACTACAGATGTCTTAGCCGAGTTCTCTTCGAATAAACAACTTTACTCCCACATTTAAAACTGCAGAACTACAGCGCTGCTCTCCCGGCTTTCCAGGCTTTGGCAAAAGACCAAGACTTTTCGCTGTTGGAAGGGGGCTCTGAGAGCAGGAGTTTTGGGTTCTGTTCACTTTTCAACAGCGATAACACAGGTGGCCACCCCTCTGGTGTCCCGGGGCACTCCCCTGACGGGACCAGCCTCAGGGCGCCGGTCACCCCAGGCGAACCGGGGGCCGCGCCAGGACCACGGGGAACACACCGAGGGCACGTGTCCGCCAGAAAACGGTGGCAACGGAAAGCAACACAACCCTCACACGAGCGGAAACGCTCCTGGCCCTGCCCTAAGGGGTGGCACGGGCGGGTTTGGGGCAGCGCTGAGGGGAGCGCGGGGGGGCGGCTGAAGAGCCCTGAGGGGGGCAAAGAGCCACGGCCGGGCGGGCGCTGCGCTCCCACCTGCGCGCTGCGCTCCCGTCCCAGGGCCGGGCTCTGTCTGTTCTCCCCGGGCTCTGTCTGTCCCCCGGCTCTGTCTGTCCCTCCGCCAGGGCCGCGTCCCCGTCGTTGCCGTGGCAACGGCTCCGGCAGCGCCCGCGCGGGCGGGGCGGGCCCGGCGCGTTCCCTTCCGGGGCGGCGGGCGCTGCACGAGGCCGCGGCAGGTGAGGGGCGGCCCGGCCGGGATGTGCCGATCCCGGGGGGCCCCCCGGGCAGGGCGGGCGGGGATCGGGGTCAGGAGCAGAGCGGGGCGCGGGGGGGACCCCCCCTGGCCGCGGTGTGCGGGTGGGTCCGTGGGCGCAGGGGCTGCCGCGGCTCCGGGGAAGGCCCTGACAGGCAGGGGCTGGTAAAACGGTGCTTACCGGGCTTGGGGTTTCTGTAAAGGATTTTGACAGGGTGCCTTGCAAGCGGCGCTTATAGGAATCCCCGTGGATTAGTTTTTGATTAAAAGATGGGAAAAGAAGTAGGGATAATGGGGTTTCTCGGCAAAGGCGGGGAGTGTCACCAGGCGGGTGCCGGAGGGTTCTCTGGGGTGACCTGTTGGTAGGTGCGAGTGTCCCGAGAGAGGAGACGGAGAGCGAGGATGAGAAACGGCAGCCAGGAGCAGATTTAAGGTAATAACTCGGGGGCCTTGAAAGGATCCTGCAGTGCGGAGTGGGCAGTAAAGTGGTGTGATGTGAAGTTTAGTGTTAAATAAGTGAAGTCATAGGTATCTGGAAAACCATCTTAACTAGACACCTGTCTATGTGTTTGTGTGTCTGTGTATATGTATATGTTTTGCCATTTAGGAAAGATTTGTAGAGGGTAGGTATTACTGTGAGGATGTCATGCTCTGCAGCTGTCAAAAGGAAGAAACAGACAGTTACCAGCTAAATAGGACAAGCTACACTAAAGGACAAGACACAAGATCACCCCAGTGGACAATGCTTTTTGGACTCCATGCAGTTCTGTTTCCCCCATAATGGAAAGCAGACTGAAAGTAGAAAGAGAGTGGCAGGGACTATGGGAGATATGGAATGGTTTCAGAATAAAGGGAAGCCAAATAGAGTAGGGCTTGTATCATCTCTGTGAAGCAGCTTATTAACATCTTCATTTCATTTTTTAGAATGATAATAAAGAAAAAGAGAAAAGAATTTCATGAGGAACCTATACAGAAGAAGAAAAATGTGAAAACTGTCATTAAAATTGAGGAAGATGTTCCAGTTGTCATTAAAATTGAGGACGATGACAGGCTTGAGACAAAAACAAAGATAAGGAAAAAGGTACATTTAAAAGATGAATGTTTAGACCAATTACAACCAAAGAACAAGAAGAAGAAAAACAAGAAAAAGAAAGTTGGCTCCAAGTTACATTCAGAAAGCTCTGTGATTGTAAAAGGTCACCTGGATTCAGAACTTCAAGAGGAACTAGAGGAACAAATTAAAATTCTCAAAAAGAAGAAAAAAAAAGTCCCGTGTCATTCATCCTTAGAGGAGGAGGATGAGAGTAGTGGAATGAAGCTTTCAAATCGTCCTATACATGATAGTAAGAAAACTGAATATTCTTTAAAAAAACACGAAAAGGATGCTGCTTTGAATTTGGAACTGAATGGTGGGGTAACAAAGAAAAAAAAGAAGAAAGGCAGTTGTTCTTTTTCATTAAAGGGCATCCAGGACACTGAACAGAAGCAGTCTGAAAGAGTTTGTAAAAAGCCCCACAAATACATTTCACAAAAAGTAGCATTTACAGGTGAAAACCATGACAGACACAATGTCCAGAATGATAGGGAGAATTGTGTGAGAAAAAAGAAGAGGAAGAAGAAGGATAAGACTGACTCCTTTTTACCATTAGTAGATAATCAGGACAACATATCCGGAGTTCCTGGTAGGCCCATTGCATTAAGTGACTTCAGAAAAAGGAAGAAGCAGAATTCCTGGGAAATTGCACTGACAAATAGAGAGGAAGAAGACACAACTGAGGACTTTGGGAGTATCAAAGAGACTAAGAAGAACAAGAACAGAAGCAAATGTGTTTCTTCCTCAACGTGTGAAGATCAGCGAGACTGCAGTCACGGCATTCCTGATAAGTATCTCCCAGCACAGCAAGAAGTTGGCTCTGAGGAAGAAGAGCTGCTGGGAAAAAAGAACAGGAAGAATTTCAAGGGTAGTAATGAAGTCCCCAAGAAGAAAAAGAACAAAAAGATTCACAAAGAGGAGGAGGAAACAACATATTCAAAAGTTGCTTTAAACAATGATAGTGCCTCTAAAAACCAAAAAGTAGGACTACTAAAAAGCAATAAAAAGAAGAAAGAGAGTGAAATGGAGCGAGCTGAGCATGTAGCAGGGAATGCCATAGATGAGGCATTAAGCAATAGTAATCACATGCTCCGTGACAAGAAAGGGAAAAAAAGAAAAAAAGTCCTGCCACAGGACTTGACTGAACAACCAGGTTCAAAAGCAAATACAAAAAAGACAAAGATCGTGACAGGAGACACAGGGAATGAGTCACTGGTAAGTTGTAAAGAGGAGGGCAGCTTTGCCCCCTCCTGCTAAGGAACCCAAAGCTTTTTAGGTACAGTTCCCTACTTTGCAGGCTGTTCTGCAATATTTAGGCGAGTAAGGGCCCCCACTGTTGAGAAATAGGATCAGCTGATCTGTTGATTTTAACACAGTAGTTGTGACACGTGGGAAAGTATCATTTAATGCCTGCTGCTGTAATCATGCAGTGTTTCAGTTCTGAAAATGTAAATATTACAACCAACAGCAAGTATTGGCACGAGAAGCAAATGAGTGTGTGAAGTCGTAAATGTTCTTCCTCGGTTGCTTTTCACAAAGTGGCAACACTCCTATAAAACAGGATTTACCCTGAGCAGGGTGGTAACACTGGCAGCATCAGTGCATCTCACTGTGTTTGTTGGACTTTTCCTCAGGCTTTGCTGCTGTTAATAATGGAATTACGTAGTGTTACAAACAAGGGGAAAATTTGGCCAAAGCCTGTTGTCTAACTCAGAGAAAACTTTAGAGAAAATCCTAAGAAGGCAAAGTGTAGACTAGGCCAAGAGCATTGATGTATAAATTCTGATAGA